CATGTGTGGCTCATGGGAGGACAGACTGCACTTCTGCTCCCTAATGTCTAGTGCTACCCCATTCCTTCCTGATGTCCAGAACCAGGCCAGACTGTGTGTGATGCTAAAATCAAATCACACACTACTAGGAGGAATACTTGTTAGGCAAGCAATTCAGTAAGCAGAGGGCCACTTTAGTTACTTCACTCTTAGTTCAGCATTTTTATTACATTAGAAATCTAGACATGCCTTTAATCCCAGCACTTGGGAGGCAAAGGCAGGTACATCTCTGTAAGTTGGAGGCCAGCCTGGTTCTATATAGTGAGTTTATAGACAAACAAAAATGCTTCTTTGTATTTTTTTTAACTTTCTTTGTATTTATTCATTGTGTCTTTCACATCATGCATCTGGATCCCATTCATATTCGTCTCCCCGTCCCTTCATACCTCCCCTCTGCCCTTGGAACCTCCCCACAAAAGTAAAATAAAGTAAATTTTTTTCCTTTTTTTCCTTTTTGGATTTTTGAGACAGGGTTTCTCTGTATAATTTTGGAGCCTGTCTTGGAATTTGCTGTGTAGTTCAGACTGGCTTCAAACTCACAGAGAAAAATAAAATTTGTGAGAAGAAAAAGAAAAAAAAATCTTGTCTTGGAGTCTGTAATATGACACTGTATCACACAGTATATTCTTTTGTCCATATATCTTTACTTGTAAGTGTTCATTGCAAAGAGTCATTGGTCTGGTTTCTGCTATACTGTTGATGCTGGGCCCTCATTGGGACTCCTCTTGGATATCCTGCTGTTGCCCTGTGTCGTGGAGACCCTGCAGCTTTGGGTCTGTAGGACTGGTACCTTTACATGCTCCAGCAGATCACAGATGGGGTAGATGTTGGTGTGGGCCAAATCGTAACCCTGGTTCTGGGCCTGGGTAGTTACAGGGTTGATCAGCCCCCCAGTTCTCCCAGATCCTTACCACCAGGGTGAGCTTTCCAGCATTGCCCCAGCTAGTTTACCCTTTGCAGCAGTGAGCAAGGCCAGTTGTACTCTGCTGCCCAAGTGAGGTACAGGGGCCGCTTTCCCAAGTGCTGCAATTGGTGAGGGGCAGGGACAACTCTCCTGCTCTTACAACTGACAGGACAGGATCTCCCAACTGCCATAGGTGGCAAAGGGGGGGGGTCTTTCTTGCTCACCCACACCACCATATGACTGATGAAGGGTGGGGCTAGATCTTCCAAGCACAGGTTCTCGAACCCCTGTCAATGTCTATGGGGTCAGCTCTACTGTGCTGCCCAGGTGAGGTCTGCTTTCCTGAGTGCAGAGGCTGGTAAGGGGGAGGGGCTGACCCTCCCCCCAGCAGGTAGTCAGAGGAAAGGCTTCTTTGTGTTCTTAAAAGTACTACTTAAAAAGATAAAAACAAAGGGACAACAACAATAGCAACACCCTCTTTTTGGACTGGGAAAGGTGTTCTGTTGCACTGGGTCCATTTCATCTTTCTGGAAGGCAAAGTGGTGGATTGCCACCAGAGTTGATGGGCTGTCCACAGCTCCTGGGACGCCAGGCCAACTGCTTCTGGGCCTCAGGCAGCATCTTTTCTCTTAGGAGATTTTCTTGTGGCTGAGAATTTATAATCAGCTGGAACACTGGCCAAAGCCAGGTGCAGGACAGTTGAGATACAGAGTCAAGGGTATGATGCAGCCTTTGGAAGTGACCCTGCATATGTCGTCTTCTGGGGAGATAGGAGCTACCCACATGCCAGGCACACAGTGACTGCCATGTGCCCAAGAGGTACCCACAGCTCTGAGTTGCATAGGGAGGTCCTAGGAATGAGAGTGGCCTGATGTTGCCATCTTTAAACTCAGCCTGGTGCTGTGGGAGCTCAGAATCTGGGTTAGGTCCACAGCTCGAGCCTCCATTGACCTTTTTGTTGTTTCCTTCTGGATTGGCTTGAATATATATGTGAAAACAGCAGTTGGGGCATAATGATGTTTCTTTTTTAAGCTCTTCTGAATACCCTATTGAGCTGTTTAGAGAAGGAAGCCCTGTGTTACCTGTTCTCAGTGCCCTGACCTCCAACCCCTCTCTCTATGACATGGGAATCACTTCCATTTTTATTAAAAACTTATTTTTGCAATTCCCGAAGTCTGGACAGAATGAGGGTATCAAAAGGGTTTACAGTGAACAACAAACATTGTAATTGCAGGCCCAAGCATCACTTTACTTCCGTGGGAAAGATTTGGAGAGCTTCGTGGAGCTGGTATAGAGGCATGGGGTTTGTAACCCCCCTGGCCCCGTGTGTGTACTTTCATGCAGGGCCATATGCATTTACCACCAGCCACATGTATTTACTGTATTCAGGTAAACACACACATTGTACACATGTTCTTTCCCAGAAACTCTCCTTGTCTGGTTGATGGTTTTCAAATTTGTCAATCAGTGTTCCAAACAATTCTATTTGTCTCTTTCATGTTGGCTTCTAGGAAGGTGTTTGCTGTAATCCACCATCTCTAGGACGTACTGTCCACGCTGTGGGAAGAGTTGAGTCAGTTGTAGTGGCTTGGTTCCAGAAAGAGAGACCTTCCTGTGTGATTAACAACTTTTTGAAATCACAGACTGCTGGTCGCCATTTTCTTTCTCCCAATTTGGCACCCAGTTTTGAAGACAAAGCTTGGATTAGGTAGCATCTGACCCCACAGCCACTCTTCCTGCTGGTGGAGGCAGTGTCAGCCACAGCTTCCCCCCCCCTTCTCAACTCTGCAGCCCCAGAAAGTTCCACAGTGAAAGCAAAGCTGGGGACATGAGAGATGAATACAGGATCCCTAGGTGGGTGAAAGCCCAGTGTGTCAGGACACAAGCTCGGCTGCTGTGCAGACACCTCGGGCTTGTGTCGTCAGAGAAGGATAGGTGGCTCTCTCTCCTGTGGGTGTGCTAGTGGGTGGGACGGAGAAAGAATCCCCCTAATTCATGACTAGAAGGCTGCACTCCTGCCTCCCTCCTTCACAGCTTGGACCTCCACCTTGTAGGCTGTCCCAGCAGGGGCCAGTGCTGCTGCTCTTACCCCTCCTCTCCCCCTCTGCACAGCTGGCATCCTTCTTTACTTGTGTCTCTCTCTTGCTTAGCTCCCCTCAGCCAGAGGACAAAGGCTGCTGGCTTTGTTGCCCTCCAGGGCTGCTTGGCGAAAGCTCACCTCACATGGGAGGTGCCTCACCTCATGCATTTATCATTTGCCTCCCAGTGGGGAGGGAGACCAAGGCAGAGATGGCCACTTTTGGTACCTGACCTGAGAAGGACCCTGTACCACTTCTGCTGTATCTTTAATGGCCACATGAGCAATCCTGGGGAGGTGTGGCTGGGGACTGTGGAAGGATGTGATCCCTGGAAGCTGGCGAGGCTGCTGCATTTCAGGGTTGAAAGGGATCTGAATCCAAAGGGGATCTGAGGGTCACTTTCTCTTTTTAAAAACATTTATCTTACTCATTTGTTGGTCCTTTCGTCTATTTTGTGTGTGTTTGCACTGTATGCACACGTGCAGACAGGTAGCACTCTCTCCTCTGTCCCAATGTAGACACCCTACTGGCTGGTTTTGTGTGTCAGCTTGACATGACTTGAGTCATCAGAGAGGAAGGAGCCTTAGTTGAGGAAATGCCTCCACGAGGTACAGCTGTAAGGCATTTTCTCATTTAGTAATTAGTGGGGAGGGGGCAGCCATTGTGGGTGATGCCACCCCTGGCCTGGTGATCTTGGGTTCTATAACAAGGTGGGCTCAACAAGCCTATGGGAAGCAAGCCAGTAAGCAGCCCCCCCTCCAATCGCTTCTGCATTGGAGAAGCAGTTCTGTCCTGACTTCCTTTAGTGGTGAACAGCAATGCTGAAGTGTAAGCCAAATGAACCCTTTCCTCCCCAACTGGTTTGTTGGTCAGGGTGTTTCACTGCAGCAATAGAAAACCTAACTAAGACACACACAATACACACACACACACACACACACACACACACACAAAGAGAGAGAGAGTTTAATTTTGGCATATACATACATGTTTATATCACCTGCCAGTTCTTCATATAAAAATACAGATGTGATTATATCCATTTATAAAACAGTAGAAGTGTACCAGAACAGCAGTGGTTATCTCTAAATAACTTCCATTTTTGTATTTATAGCTCTATTTAAACTATTTTTATTTGGCAATAAAATTTCCTGCATGTATTGGGCGGCGGTGGTGCATGCCTTTAATCCCAGCACTTGGGAACAGAGGCAGGTGTATCTCTAATGAGTTTAAGGCCAGCCTGGTTTACAAATTGAGTTCTAGGACAGCTAGGACTGTTGCATAGAGAAACCCTGTCTCGAAAAACAAAAATAAGTAAATAAAAATTCATGCATGTATCCAATGCATTTTGGTCATTTTTACCCTCCATTACCCTGTCTCACCCCCTCCCACACCCACTGAATTCTTCTTAGAAGGTTAAACTTTGAGATAGTTCATTGCTTGGTCAGCATGTTATCAATATTCTGACCACTTTCCCTTTGAACTAGACTCCTTTCCATCTCACTTTGTGACTTTTTGTCAACTTTTAGACTGGACTGGAATACACAGCCACCTGCCTGCAGCTGTCACCCCCTTCCCATCAGAGTTAGGAGTACAGAATTGAAAAGAGGGTCTGTGTTTGTGAGGCCCCAGCATGGCTGTTCTATCTCCTTTATCCCTTTATACTCTCCATCTTTCACTGTTTACAACCTTCATTTCCAGAGTGGAAGTCAACTAGGAAGCCTGGTTACCACTGGGACATTCTAGAAGAAAACACATTTTGAGAGAAACTCGGGTAGGGAGGTCCAGTCACAAGGAGACTTTCACATGAGTCTTGCAGACAGACCTGTGTCTTGTGCCTGTGGAGTCAGTCCTCTGGTGTGTAAGGCACAGCCCAGTTGCCTTGCCATGGACACTGATGGGTAGTCAGTCAGGGTGGGACCCCCTGGGTTGAGTTCACAAAGCTATGCTGTTCCAATGACTGTGCCTTCTGTCCACAGGCAGGTCCCAGCCATGGCCCCGGGCACAGTGTGTGCATCATTGATGAGATTGGGAAGATGGAACTGTTCAGTCAGCCCTTCATTCAGGCAGTCCGTCAGACGCTATCCACACCAGGCACTGTTGTCCTTGGCACCATCCCAGTCCCCAAAGGGAAGCCACTGGCCCTGGTGGAGGAGATCAGGAACAGGCCTGATGTGAAGGTGTTCAGTGTGAGTAAGCCAGCCCTTGGGGAACTCCTACCCTGTGGTCACATCCTAGCTCCGATGTCTTCCCTGCCATCTGTCAGCAGTGGAGTAGTCAAGGCAGGGTTTGGGGTGTTGGTTGGGAAGGTCTGTTCAGGGAGGAGCCATGGAACCAGAGCCATGCAAGTCACATACCCAGTGTCAGAGTTCCAACCTCGACCCCAGCTGAAAGATGTGTGCTTATGGGAGAATTAGTTACTCAAGTCTGAGCCTTGACTTTAGAGTTATCTCAATAATAAAATAAAATAAACCTGTTTAAAGAAAAATGGGCAAAAGGTTTGAAAAGCTGTTTCTCCATGGAGCACGAGGAAGCCACAGTAAGCACAGAGAAGACATGTACCCCACAAGCATGATGACCACGAGGCACCACACCACACCACACCACACCACACCACACCACACCACACCACACCCATTAGGACGTGTTTCATGCTGTAGTTAAAGGAGGGAGATGGGAGGGCTTGGGGAAACCTCAGCCTCCCTACCCTATTGGTGAGAAGGAACTGAGTTGTCCTGGAAAACCACTCTGGTTTCTCAAGGAGTCATATGTTAGTCACTATACCAGCAAGTCCACTCCTAGGCATTCACACGGAAGACTTGAAGACACTTGATACAAAGCTTGAACGAATGCCCACAGCAGCATTGCTCACAATACCTTACAGAATGAGAGGGACCCAGACATCCACCAGCATCCGAACAGGATGTGTGATGTGTGCTGTAGCCATCTAGTGTGGTGTTATTTAGTGACACAAAGAAGTAAAGCACAGCCATATTCTGAGGTCTAGATGAAAGCTGTATTATGCTGAGTGAAAGAAGCCACTCACAGAAGGTCACAGGCTCCACGATTCATTTATAGACTATCCAGAAGAGGCAAGTGCGTTGAGACAGGAAATAGAGTAGGCTTTGCTAGTGGTGGGCAGGAAGGGAGGAGGTGGCTGTGAATGGGGGCCCTGTCTGTGATAACATGTTCACTTGTAACCCTTAGAGGGTGAATTTTCATGGCAATGGAATTTACACACATATGCACACAGAAGTCAAAGCCGTGGTGGCACCCTTTTTCCTTTAAGACTCATCAGCATACCCTGTAAATGCTGATGTCCAGTCCCCTCCCCACCTAGGTGCTGCTGGCCTTGCTGCATGGTGGCCTGGCGGAAGACACCACATGCTGAGACATGCAAGTGTGCCTGCTCAGGTTTCCCTATTACAAAGCTACTAATGCTGGGCTGCTGATGTGACTCTAGAGTTGGTGCCCAGCATGCACAACACCTTGTGTTCCACCCACAGCACCCTCATAAACAGCTTTTGTAGCATATGCCTAAATTCCCAGCACTCAAGAGTGGAGGCAGAAGGATGGACGTTCAAGTTCACCTTCAACTATAGAGTGTTCAGGCCCAGCCTGGGATGCATAAGGCCCTGTTGCAAAAATAAAATAAAATAAAACTAAAAAAGCCACCACTGCCATCACATGGGCCCTGCCCTCAGGACACGATTCCAAAGCCTCTTCAAATACCTTTAATGCATGGAATTGCAGGGGATGAGGTTTCTGACACAGGAACTTTTGGGGATGTGACGAAACCTACAGTGGACAGAAACTCCTGCTCATATCCACACACTCACTGAAGCATCTGGGCACACTCCTGCTCTCTTTGATTCTTGGCACTGCAGCAGCCTCTCTGAACACGGTCCACCACAAGAGGAGATTCTGCCCAGGCTTTCTTCCCCTGGACTCTGTCTGCAGCCCTGCCCAGCCTGCACCACCTTTTCAGGAGCCTTCCCCACTTCAAGGACTTCTTTATGTCCTTCCCATCATGCTCTGTGAGCTCATAACCTCAGGGTCCTTATCTGCAGCACACACCAGGTCAGGAAGCCCATGTGAGACTCTGTGCTGCATCACACTGTCTTCTCTGGCTCCCCTTCATCTCTCAAAGGAGCAAAAAGCTGAGGTCAGAGGCTCCTTGCAGCACTCAGATCCCCCAGGGTCATGGAAAGATGTGTAGATGTCATTGTCCTTTGGAGTAACCCGGAGTTGTGGGCAGCTGCTGCTGTGTGCTGCTCTCTAGGGCTCAGGTCCAGCCCAAGCCCCTCCTTGCACTCTCTCCCATTTCCATCCAGTGCCACCCAGTGCTTCAGTCATGCACTCCACATGGGACTTGGTGATCCTGAAGAGCTGGCTTCTCTCTCCATTCCCTCCTCTCCAGGAAGCATTGGCTCGAAGAACTGGAGGGAAGTGCTCTGCTCTCTAAGCCTGCTCTCTTGCCTCTTCCTACAGGTCACCAAGGAGAACAGAAATAGCCTCTTGCCGGATATTGTGACCTGTGTGCAGAGCAGCAGGACCTGAAGCAGTCCCTGACAAGGTCCAGCTCTGCCTGCTGGTCACTGCCTGGCCAGGTTTGCTACCTCTCTGTTGATGGGGCAAGTACTCTCTGTCCATGAGAGCTGGACAGCTCATGAGATTAGGTTAGCCCAGTGCCTGCTGGTCCATGCACAGTGAACAGTCCACTGTGTCTTATGTATGCTCAAGAGTTCTGTCCATTTCCTGTTGCAGTTGTGCATGTGATTTGAGTAAATTCCAAATGAATGTGTCAAGGATTAGTACAATTTGCTCCTGTTGGGGTTTATAGATGTGTTCGGGGCTGGGGAGGGAGTTGGCGTCTTCATTGACTTTACATGCTGTGATATTAAATACCTCTCCAGGTGCAGCTCCAACTCACGCAGCTGAAAGCAGTAACAACATGATTCTCTCCAGTTATTTCCAAAGAAAAGCATATTAGTTCCCCTCTTCATCTCTTGTTTATTCCTTTGTTTATTGCCTAATAAAAATGGAAATAAATCTGGTGGTTCAGACACAGGAGTCTGCCTTTGGGAGGGACAGTTTTCAGAATGCTGGTGTCAGCTGATGCTCCATGGGCCAGACATGAGCAAAACGTCCTGTTTGTGCTGAGTTAGCTTGGGCACAGTTTTCAACCACTCTGAGCCCTTATGCCCTTCCAAGAAAGAAAGGGACATGACTGTCACCAGAGAGGGTTTTGGAAGCTGATTTGAACTGCAGTCACCACTGGCTGCAGGGACTCATCTGTGAGGAGTGAGGCCACAGGCAGGGTCTCAGCCCACACTGGGCTCTGTAGCACTAAGGAAAGAGAATCAACTATGGAAACTACTGGGTCCATAAAGCCAGGGGCTACCCTCTATGTTGCTAGTGCCCTGGAACTTTTAGGTCCTTTAGATATTTTTTAACAGCATTAATGACAACATCCACTGATGTGAGTACCATGGGTCCCTTACTGGGACTATGAACATATATGGGCCTGTGTTAATGGAGATGTTGTGAGCTGGGCACTAGGACCCAGTGGAGAGTGCAGTAAGCCTGTGGCTGGGGCAGGATCTCATATTGGTCTTCCTTCTAAGGTAGTTCTCAAAGCTTAGTCTACCTGTACAGTGGGGAGAAGTAGGTGCCTCCCTACCCATTAGTCTTTCCAGGGAGGCCAAGTATAGAGCTCATGGCCTTGGGCAGGCTGGCTTTGATGGCAGCAGTGGGTACTTGGGCAGGTGGGACACAGCATAGGTTTGGGCCATAGCATCAGTGTACCTGGCCACCCAGGACCTGAATGTACCTAGTCAAAATTTCCTACACAGCCTGGCCCTGACAGGGAGCCCTACTCAGCCCTTTGAACCCAGAATAAAGGAAGCTGGTAGAAGTGGTGGTGGTGGCAGCATACAGTATGCTCCTCCTAGGCCAAAGTGGACCTCATGTTGGCATCTGACTTGGCCCCTTGTAGGGGAAGCTGTAGCCACGCCTTCTTAGGGGCTGGCTACAAGAGTACCTGAGGGCTTGTGAGGGCGTGGTTAGAGTGAGTAGGGGGACTGTGTTTTTGGTTTTGGTCTCTCTTTGTGTCTTGTTGTACAGACTATCACCGGCTGGCTGGTCCGCTCTGTAAGTAAGGCTTTTCCCTATTAAATACCCTTATATTTTTACCTGACTCCATACTGGTAATTTCTTACTATATCTGGTTGTCAGAAGCGGGATATTGGAAACCCACACCCCATTTGGGACAGGCTATGGGTTCCATCGGGCCCGCCGCCTAGGCCGGGAAAGCACCTAGGCCAAAGTGGACCTCATGTTGGCATCTGACTTGGCCCCTCAAGTGGTGTGCACCTGTAATTGAAGTACTTGGGAAGCAGGTGCAGGAGGATGGTGAGCTCCAGGTCAACCTGGGCTGATAGGGAAAGATTGTCTCATAAAACAGTTTTAAAATATCCCAGCTATGGTAGACGGAAGACTTGGACCCATGCCTGAGTGGCGTCAGAGCCTCTGCTTATTCTGTGCTCCCCTTTGTGTCTTCATCTAGGCTCTCTGTCATCTTGTGAATTGTATGACTAGACCTCACCCTCTCACTGACATGTAATTGTCACAAACTGACACGCCCTTCAGCGACTACTACTCCGACAGATGAGGGTCAGTGTCAGGGAGCAAGTACACAGATCTCAGATGCAAATCCTGGCACTATAAGGAACGTCGATGAAGGGGCATTGGGTCTCTAATGGATTCGGATGTGGGTCCTGACTTGAGGAGTTCGTGTTGCAAAAGCACATTGATGTACATGTTGCTCACATGTAGGTCTGCCAGAATGACATGGTACGACATGGTACGACAGGATGATGGAGCACCAGCTGGACAAAGACTGACGATGCCCTTGCTGCCTCCCACTTAGCAGGTCATACACGGGCCTCTCCTCACCCACTGGCTTGAAAATCATTTCTTTCTTGTCTCTGAATGAAGGTAATAAGCTCACGTGTGGAGGCAACATGGCTTTTAAATAGATAACAGAGAATCCCCCAGGCTCTCCTGGTAAATGGAGAGGCTTCCAGGAAAAACTGCAAATTCATGGAAGGTTCTGGGAACAGTGAGGTGACCCTGTCCTCCTCCCACCAAGACTGGTGTTCATAGAGGATAGGGCTGACCAGTATGTGCCACCTGTTCGTGCTGTGACACAGGGACTTGGCACAGAATGACATCAAGTGGGAAGTGGCTGCATAAACAGACTGCACACCATTTCAGAGGCAGAGACCCTGGAGCAGCCACTGATTTTAAACAAGTGTGTGCCAGACATGGATACTACAGCACATGGCAGGGTTTATAGCTGGTACCTAATTAGCCATGATATACGCACAGCCAAGTGTTGCAGTTGTTATATTATCTTTAGGAGAGAAATGCTTTGGTTTAGTGTCAAATGCATTTAGACAGATGTCAGCTGAACATTTGAGCCACCCTGGCAGGAAGTGCCATAGAGGCCTGTCTCATATTACCACCAGAGTGAGGAAGGCTTTAGGATACAGGGAGGCCTACTGGGAGGACCTGGGCAACATGTCTACATAGAAGTCCTATAATTAAATTCAAGTGTGTACAAATCCCTCCCCCCAGGGCTCACAGAACCCTGCAGAAGAGGAAGCAGGAAGAGTGTAAGACCCAGAGGGCATGGAGGACACCAAGAAAACAAGGTCATCTAAATCAACATGAGCAAAATTCCTATGAACTCACAGAGACTGAGGCAGCATGCACAGGGCCTGCACGGTTCTGCACCCTAACTCTACATACATATTATGGATTTCCATTTTAGTGTTTTCATGGACTTCCTGGGTGTGTGAACAAGTGGGTCTATGGCCTTTGTGCCTTCTCTCAGGCTCTTTCCTTCTGTTTTGTACAATTCCTATGTGTTTTTGTTTTATTTTATTTCATTTTATTATCCCTTAGAAAGCTCTGGATGAGAGGAGAGGTGGAGAGAAACGGAGAAGTAGGGAAGGGGAAACCATAATCAAGATATGTTATGTAATAAAACATCTATTTTCAATATTTAAAAAAAGACCAGAGATGTAACTCAGCAGACAGAGGCTTGCCTAGCATGAGGAAGCCTTGGGTTCCATCCCCAGCACCACATAAACTAGGCATGGTGGTGCACACCTATAATCCCAGCAGTCAGGTGGACCCAGCACAATCAGCAGTTTAAGGTCGTCCTTGGCTACCTTACAAGTCTGAGGTCTGCCGGGGCTACATGAGACCCTATCTCCTGCCCCCCTAATTATACAATAAACAAAAAGTGAGGATCACATTCTTAGTGTTCTTGAACAGCTTCAAGGAGTCTTTCCTTGGTGGGGTTGGTGTGCATGTCCACTTCTCAGCTTGTATTCCTCCATGGGCAGGAGGCTGTACTGGACACAATTCATGAGCCTGTCTGGATAGGTGGGAATGGATCCCACCTATTACAGTCACTCTTTCCATACTGGAATCCAGCCCCTCAGAGAGCTTCCCTTTTGTGGATACTATGCAGCAGCCAGCTGTGCTTCCAGGCACATGTTTCTCACCGACTTCAAGTAGAGGCTGCATCCCCAGCTCAGAGCTAGCCACTTAGTCCAGAATTCCCAAGGGAATTCCAGGAGAGGACAGTCAGGTTTGATTTAACCTGAGAATAGCAGCAGGTCACACCAGCTTCTGAGATACACAGTTGCATGGAACCCAGACATACTGTTTGTAGAGATTTTCCAGAGATGCCCTGTCTTTGTTGATAGACCCCACCTACTGCTATTAATTGCTAATTCTTTTTTATGCTTATGTATGTACTCAAGCTTGTTGGTGTCGCCGTGCCTCAGTGCATATGTGGAGGTCAAAGGGCAGCCTCTGCTGTCAGTCTCCTACCCTGAGATGGGTGTATTGTTTGGCCATACTAATGCTTAAGAAGTAGAAAGGAGATGCTGGAGAGATGGCTCAGAGAAGTGCTTGCCTGGAATGCACGAGAGCCTGAGTTTGGTCCCAGAATCTCCATAAGGAAAGGAACAGATGTAGTGACACACTCTGGTAATCCAGCACTGCAGAGGACACACTGGGGTGACTGGGAGCTCACTGGCCACCTCGGCCTGACCTGTAAGCTCCAGGACAGCAAGAAGCCCTGCCTCAATGACCAAGGTGGGAAGCCCCTAATGGATAGTGTCTGAGGTAGTCCTCAGGCCTTTACATGCACACACACAGGCACACACACGCACACACACACACAGGCACACACACACAGGCACACACACACACGCACACACACACACACACACACACACACACACAGACACACAGGCACACA